TAGCCACTGTGGCCACAAAGTGATACTGCAGCCCAGGTCTGTTAGACATTGCAAATATTCCCCCAGAAGTAGCAAGTGGAGCAACTCCGTAGTGACAGCTGAAAATATGGAGTCAGAGGTTTTCAGGCCTATGCTGAGGAAGGACGAGAAGAAGCTCCCAGGGATAGATAAATCCTACAAAAGCACCTACCAGCACACTAAGGTCCTAACCATTATCCTAATAACCCCTTGTTTCTCCAAAATTTTGAAGTAAAAACTAATTTGGAGACCCTCTACTTCCCCTGATTTCAGACTGAAGTCAGCTGGAAAATAGGATTCAGGTTACAGAAATGTGTTTCATACACAAATTAGCTATAATGTTACTTTTGCCAAAAACGGATACTCTATTTTTTCAATCTAAATGTCTGTCTGGACATTGCTTCCTTGAATTGAATTTACCAGATTTCTCAGTAGCTAACCATTTTCTTTCAAAGGGAATTAATCCAGAGTATAATTGTGTTTCCTTTTTGCTAAGATTGTACCACCTTAAGTCTATGGCCCGCAGCTGCAAATAAGAAGTGGCAGGGACCCACATGGTCATATTTCCATACCATAACCTGGAGCAATCATTAAAAGTGTTAGATTGCATCATGAAGGTTAGTCCTAATTTGACCTGATAGTGGAAAGCTCTGTAAAGTGAATTGTGACAGTAACTCTAACAGCAGCTGGGCACAAAGAGATCATTGATCTTCTTTCACATGAGTCAGGAAAATTCTTCAGTGCTCCCCTCAAAGCCCAGGAATCATTTGCATCTGTATGGCAGACATCATTGCCTGTGAACTCACTGAGAAACACACTTCATTCTGAGATGTTTAATTTGCTGGCTCCATTGGGTGAGAAATGTCATTCTCCAAGGACCCCACCCCCACCCTTCCCCCGATATGCATACTTTTGAAAGTGCATGTTATGAAGTCAGATAATCTGTATTTTGACGTGACATGAAGTAAAGCTGGTCAGCTCTCTAAACCAGTCAACCTGGTTTTAGATGAGATTACGTTACCACATGGACTTAATTGTGATCATAAACTACAGCAATAGCAAAAATCTGTAACACTCATGTTTATTATGTTTTCCTTTATTTTTTATCAATTTGTGCTTCCCTTTAGACAAACTGTATATTTTGTGGGGTTAGGCAGTGAGGGGACAAGATGGGAGGAGACATGAATGAGCAAAGTTCAAAGTTTTATTACATTTACCCTCAGGAATAAAAGGGCAAGGACAATGAGAACTATCTAAGACTTTAGAAAATGTCTAACATTGCTCTGTTAAACTGTCCATGGCTCCCTCGTCTATTTTTCTTGCAGTGACTATCAATAGGACGCTTACAAAGTTAGACGTGCCATGAACTCATTTTAGGGACAATAAGCAAGTTAATAGTTGAATAAAATGCATCCTACTTCGTAGGCACATTGGGGGAGATGAAAAAGGAACCCTCAAAATAGAGGAGGCAGGAGTTTTTAAAAAGGCCAGCAAAGCAAGGTGAATCTCTGGGAGCACAGCAAGGAATGGTCCTCAGGCCAAGAAGTACCCCCTGGATTTAGGCTCTATAGATAAGATTCCTGTGTTGCATAAAAGAATGAACTAAATAACCGCAAAAGTTTCCCCCTAGTCTAACATTTTCCTAATATCTTTTTAATCTAATGATTTCATCATGTATAGTGGGAAATTAGTAGAACTAGCTTCCATAAGAGATTTAAAGATAAATTCTATAGTTTTGGTGAGAATTACAATATGATAATTGCTTATATTTTACACTTAAGTCATAATTTCTGCAGGAAGAATCCTTGAAATTAAAGTGGTAGTTTTCTTTTTAGAATAAATAGTTTTAATGGGGCTATTTTACTTACAATAGCATTCAGCATGGATCACATATACATGACACAGAAAAGATCTTCTAAGTACCTATTGATTTACTGATTTATTGGCTTTATTTTCTGTTAGGGGATGAATAAAAAAAATACAATAAAAGTGGCTAGAAAGCACTGATGTCATAGGATTTTGCTGTCTATATAGCCCTTGTTCTCAACACTACAAATCTTTGGAGACTGTATGGGGTCCCAGAGAATATAAAATGTGGATGCATATTCAATCAATCAACTTACTGAGTGGCATGTCTTTCTCACCTTGATATGAGATCCTTTTCTATAAGAAACAGGCCTGTGATATTGTGCTCAAATTATCAGGATTGCCACATAATCTGGATCATATATGAGGTGGACACAGAGAAAGTACTTGAAATCTCAGTTTTATTTAGTGCCAAACAAAAATCTGTATGTTAGGAAGAGTAACAAAATACCTAAATCCCTAAAATTATCATCTGGGACTAAATAAACAGTAAAACAATTATAGTCAAATATCTATGACTGAATACTTTTAATTTAGCAGATTCTTTTCCTGGACTCCAACTTCTAGAAAAAGGTAAAGCCAACAATGAAAAGATTCAATGAGGAAAAAAGGTCTATCCTTGAATCAGAGCAAATTCAGACCAGTCTCTGCACATTGCACATCAACAATCTAGAAATTGAAATGGAATAGAAATAGAAATTCAAAATTATGGTAGTGGCAGTTAATATTTATTGAGTATCTGCTATATGCCAGATGTAATGCAGAATCTTCTACATACATAATTTCATTTTAATCCTTTTAAAAATCCTATGAGTTAGGCACTGTTATTAGCTTCCTTTTATAGATTATGGCTCTGAAGTTCTGTAAGAACATCTGTAAGAACTCTGAAGTTCTGTAAGTCATCTACTTAATAAGGCAGGGAAATGGACTAATATATTATTCTGTAAAATGTATCAAATGCAAAACAAAATAAGGAAAAAAATTTCTGATTAACCATCATTAATCAGAACCTCCTAATCCCTGAGCATTCCTTTTGATCAAGCTTTCACCTTCTTGCAGTATAGTTCTCCAATGATAGAGATGCATTTGAATTCTAATTATTTTAAGTAATGTTGATATAATCAGCATCATAACTTCTAAGTTGTGGCATTAATTCTTGATTATCAGCTATCACGTCTTTACATAGGTTAATGGAATGAGTCACCTACCCCTCCCTGTGGACTATTAATTCATTAATTCAACACTCACTATTTGCCAGGCATGATGATAGGCACCAGGGATACAGTTGTGGGTTGGGAAGAGTTTTGGGGGGAAGATCCTCGTTAGAAGAGTTTACAAGCTGAAAAAGGTTGTTTTTTTTTTTAATTCATTTAGAATAAGATAATCATAACTTTAAATATATATTTTTTATCTTGTTAATCTTTGCAACAACCCTGTACAAATGTTATCACTCCATTTTTACACATTATGAAACTAAGAGTAAGGGAGATTACATGAATTGCCAGCTAGTAAGACACAGCTTTGGGTTTTAGCCCTGATCGAAACACATGCTGTATCCACTATGCCATTCCATCCCCCATAGAGCTTGTTTTGGTCAGTATAATATTGCAGAAGGAAATACCAAGAAAAGCTTTTCTAACAGTACACTACTCACATTTGACCCTGGGACCACTCAGGTGCAAGAAACCTCTTCATTTGTAAATTGTATAAAAATCTAGTCTTCTTTGAAAATAGCCTTGGCCTTATCTGAATGTTTTTTAATACATTGTTATGTATTTAATACATTGCTATGTATTGATGTTTGTTTCCTTAGTTCTTTCTAATCATGATAGGGATTTAATAGAACATGGATATGATGCAGTGAACAGTTGGCTTAAGATACAGAAGTGAGTTTTCATTCCTTCACTTAGTTACTCAGGTGATGTAAAGGAAAAATGTTTGACAAATCCCAGAAGACATTTAATGGAGGTGTGCCAAGTGGAGTCTGATTGCTGAAGAAATGGTATTTGTTATGTGGGCTGAAAACATTAGCCTAGGGATACTTTAACTAAAACCAATAATGTACAGACATTTTGTTAGGATCTTAGCAGTCATTTTACTGAAACTTGATTGACTTTTAGCTGACTGGACTCCAAGATTTTATTGACCGTTTACAACATTGCCTCAGGAATTGTATAGCTGCTGCCCATTGAAACATTGAGGGTTAAAGAATGAGCCTGGCAGGCCAACCTGATTCCTCTTTTGATAGGATTAGGGAACCAGTGGCTAAAAGGCTTAAGAGAGATCACCTAACTTTGGTCTTTAACAAAGCTTTTGATTCCACATTTCATGAAGTTTTAATTGAAACACTTGAAATTCCAGGTGCTGGTGCCAGATGAGTAAGAAACCCTCTGCTCCTCCCGGGCTGAAGCATGTAAGACCTAGAGAGTAGACAGTGCCTTCTGCCGTTTTAGATGATGCAGCAGCAACTAGTAAAGTAACCATGCTGTGGCATCATTTGGAATGGATAGAAGTAGCACTAGCCAAACCCGGGTCATTACTCCCCAGCACTCCAACTACTAACTAATCTCATTGCAAGTTCTGTATCTTTGTTTCCTTCTCTCATTTGCCATAGAATTGTGGTTTTCTTTTGTAGAAACCTCTGTTATTGTTGGCAGTGACTTTGATGCCAGGATGCTCTAATGATATCTGCATCACCTTGCAGTGAAAGAATGGAAAAATGTCAAGGGACAGTCTGAGGAATACATAACCAAGCTTTTTCAAAGGAACCGTGGGTTTAACCATAGCCACATTTAAAGAAGACCTTATGTCTTTTAAGGAAGGAGGTAGAAGATAATTTTATAGCTTGTGGCCAAAAATGCTAATTTCCCAAAACGTCAGGGATCTTCTTATAAGACTGAGTGACAGTCTTACAAGACCCTATGTTTTAAATCTGTACTTGTCAACAAAATCTGGAAAAATTACAGAAGGCAACTGGTTTTAAGGAATTCACCTATTATTCCTAGTTTCTTAAGATTTAGAGAGTTTTCCTCTAGTGGCTCATATAATACAATCTAGAGACATCCCAGTCCTTAATGGAGTCTGGATTTTGGCTTTCTTTTTCTTCTTTAGGATTGAACCAGCTGCCCTTTGACCCTGCCAACAACAACGAACCCCTGCAGTTTGGTAGTGCCAGTGGCCCTCTGGTCACAGAAGGCCTCATTGAGAATGGAGGGGAGTCAAGCAAGAAAAGAAAGAGAACAAATGCTCCTTCAGGTAAGCTAGGCAATAATGCACTGTCTTAAGCCAGTGCTATTGAGTCAGCATTTTCCCAGAGCCTAGTATGTGATTGACACTTCGCTGGGATTTGTAGAACCACAGAAATGAGAAAGAGTCCCCTGCCCTCAGTGAACTCACGGTGGGGTAGAGTGGGGGGGGAAGCACATACAAGAATAACTAATAATGAGATAGAGTATCATTGGTAATGTGGCTAACTGTGGAAAACAGGGTAAAAAACCCTATGAGAGCACAAATGAGGAAGAGTATAATTCAGCCTTGGGCATTGTGGAACACTTCACAGCAGAAGTGACCTTTGTAGCTGACCCTTGAATGGGTAGGCTTGACACACACACAAAAAAAAAAGATGAGTAAAAAACATTGATTTAAGTAGAAGGATTTCACGAGTGAATGCTTTCACTGTATGCTTTTCTTTGCGTGTCCATGTGGTGGGCTACCCTCACTTTTACCCGTAATGCAGATAACTGCATATATTTGCATCTCCCCACCCCAGCCTTGTTTCCCCCAGTACACAATATGCCCACATGTGTTTTATGCCCTCATAGTTCTCTTAGAACAGGTGACGAGCTGATTGCCCTAAACCGTTTATAATAGTCAACTGAGTTTTTATCCTCCCCTGCAATCCTCCTTTACCTTCATGTTCCATTAGCCTATTCTCAGGTTAAATTTCTCCAAAACAAGTGGGGAAGCAACAGGAGAACCAATTCTTAACTGATCATTTGATACTTTAAAATTGTATCTCTTTGTTGCTTGGCTAGTCATTTGAAAACAGTATCCACAGTGTGTAGAAACTGATCTGAGATTGGGGATTAGCCTAATAGACACGTTCACGGTGTTTTGTTTTGTTGTTTTTGTTTTTTTGTTTTTTTTACTATTTTATATTCACCTTGTAACCTGGAGCATGTTTACAAACATATAAGATCATATCTGATTCGAAGATTATACGTCCTTTCACTTATAAATCAAGGTATTTGTCAAATACAAATTTGGAAAACAAAAACACAGTAAAACACAGCTCTCTGGAGCTCTCAAGAAGAGTGATTTTTAGACAGCTGTATTTTCTGGAACATTGGAAAAGCATAGTTTATAGCTAAAGAACTGGTGTGAGTTCTAATCCCAGCTCTATTTCTGTTTGTGGCCTGGGGGGGGGGGGGGGG